CCTTAGATAATCAGAGTGTTAATGAAGAAGAAAAAGTAGGATGTTTTGTACTTCTTTTTGTTAAAACTTGGTACTGTATACAGTGATCCTATCAGCCAAGTGCTGGTACAACCTGTAGCAGATACCTACAGTAGTAGAATGGAAGTGCCTGAGGAATGAACTTGCCCATGTACAGACTGCTGATCATTGAAAGAGAGATGAAGTTCAGTAAGTGGGGAAGAAACAGCCTCTTTGGCAATGATGCTTATAAAACTGGGTACTTATTTGCAGGAAGTGGAAACACATTCCATATTTCAGACAATATATAAAAAGTTACTCAAGATTAAGGACCTAGCTGTTGTTTTACCTAAGACTATAAAGATCATCAAAGGAAATATGGGGCAAATTTAGGAGCCCACATCTATGGCCTGAAGAGATTATAAAATAAAATTGAAAATGCATTCAGCAATGAATAAACAAAACAATTGGAACCTCCTAAAGGTTAAATCCTTATGTGCATCAGCAGACTTCCCTAGAATGTAATAAAGCAAAATTTATATGATCAAGTGAATGAAAACCCAATATCCTTTTCAACTCTTAGTCAAATCACAATAAAAATATGTAAATTATTTATTTTTTTTTTTAAAAAAGGACTTCTTTAGGGAGCTCTGATGGCCTAGTGGCAAGAAGCTGTACTGCAACCCTAGAAGTGGTGTTGTTGTTAAGGATAGTCCTCAACGCTTGGGTGCCTTTCTTCCTCTCTCCAGGTTCATAGGGTTTCCGGAGGCAAGCTGTTACAGAAGTGGATGCCAGTCCTCCTTCCAAGCTTGTTTTAATTGGGGAGCTCCACCCCACTCTCTGTCCGCATTGGGTAACCTACCATTAACGCATTTGACACATCAGTGTCACAGTGTTCATCCTCACAGCAACCACAAGTGACCACTGTATGGCAACTTGTACACCAGGGCTATTACGACCTAGAGGAATGTCTGAACAAAAACAATGAAAGACAGGCCCGAAGGCTGTGGATTAAAATTCACCCACATTTGGCTTGGTAGCATCACTTTCTGTCCACTGGGCCAGCTGTTCTATGTTGATGTTATTGTTGTTAAGTGCCGTCGAGTTGCAGGTGACTCACAGAGACCCTATGAAGGAGAGTCCTCAATGGTTGGGTGCCTTTCATCCTCTCTCCAGGTTCATAGGTTTCCAGAGGCAAGCTATTACAGAAGTGGATGCCATTCCTCCTTCCAAAATCCTAGAGGTACATGGTTTAAATCCACCAGGTGCTCTGCTGGAGAAGGAGGGGCAATCTCCTCTTATACCATTCAGATCCAATTTGATGGTACATGCACAGAAAATAAAATTTAAAAAAAAATTAAAAAGGACTTCAAGAGTGAGAAGAACCTGCAGAAGTATTTGTCAATGGCATAGCTGATAAAGGACTCATCTGTAACATTTTTAGAAAACTCCAACACCTCAACAAGAAAAAGACAGAGGGCAGAGAACATGAATAGACACTGCATCAAAGAAAACATTCAGATGGGTAAGAAACACATGAAGAACATTAGCTATTGTTGTTGTTAAGTTCCATTGAGTCTAGTACAACACATCATGACCATATGAACAACAGATCTGAACCTTGTCTTAATCTGTGCCATACTCATAATTTCTGACATATTTGAGTCCACTGCTATAGCCACTCTGCCAGTCCATCTGGTTGATGGTCTTCCTCTTTCACCAACCCTCCACCTTGCCATGCATGATGTCCTTCTCCAAGGAATAGCCTCTCCTGTCAACATGCTTAAAGTATGTGAGATGAAGCTTTGAAATCTTTGGAGAAGTCTGGCTGTACTTGCTCCACGATATATCTGTTCTTTTGGCAGTCCATGAGATAATTCAGTATTTTTCTCCAATACCACAGCTCAAAAGCATCAATTCATCTGTCCTCCTCCTTCATTGTCTGGATTGCAAATGCATAACAAGTGATTGAAAAGAACATAGTAAAAGTGGGTGTCATGGTTGTATCTTTTAGCCATACAAACCATTTAGTTTGTATGCTGAGTAAAACCTATATTTGGACCAGGAAGCAGACATCAGAATAGAACAAAGAAACACTGCATGCTTCAAAATCAGCAAAGGGGGGCATCAGGGATGCCTCCTGTCTTCATACCTTTTCAATCTGTATGCAGAACAGATCATTGAGGAGGCTGGACTTTATAAGGAGAAATGTGGCATCAGGATTGGAGGAAGACTCATCAACAACCTGCGTTATGCAGATGACACAGCTTTGCTCCCTAAAACTAGGGAGGGCCTGAGGCATTTGATGCAAATCAAAGACTGCAGCCTGCAGTATGGACTGAAGCGTAAATCAAGAACACAAAGATTCTCTCACCACTGAGCTGTTGGCAGCACCATGATAGATGAGTTTTGCTTCCCCCCCCCCACTCAGAATCATTTAAACTGGCTGCTCTTCTTTGATCTTGAGATTTCGAGTGTCCCCATTGCCACCAAGTTGTGCAGAGGTAGAGGCCCAGGTGCGTTCAAGATTCCGCTCCACTCATAACCTACCGCCATTGCCGGGGAAGGCATTGCTGTAACTGACTTTAATACAGCTTTATAAGAGGTGCTGTAGACCACCCTCATCCACGATGGCCTAGTATGTGGAATCTGTGAAGTTGCCAAAGCCTTAGACAAGCACCAAGCCCATCTATGTGTGCTTACATCCAACTGTAATGAGCCTGTGTATGTCAAGTTAGTAGAAGCCCTTTGTGCTGAACACCAAATAAACCTGATAAGGGTTGATGATAACAAGAAACTGGGGGCATGGGTAGGCCCCTGCAAAACTGACCAAGAAGGAAAGTCCCGCAAAGTAGTTTACTGCAGTTGTGTAGTTGTTAAGGACTATGGCAAAGAATCCCAGGCCAAGGATGTCACTGAAAAGTATTTCAAATGCAAGAAATGAAACCAATAAAGAATTTTTTTTTATATTGGCATGTTAAAAAAAATAAAAAATTCAAGTGTCACCACCAAGGTAGGCCTGAGATGGACTGTATAACAGGACAGGGTACATCTGACTCTGGGTCTAAATACCCCTTTGGCTTTTTAAAACCTTGTAGCCAAAGCCTTCATGTAGCTGACCCCTTCTCCACAGTCCCTCAGGAAACAGCCGAGGCTCCTCCACAGCAGTACTTGTTAGTTGTTGTTAGGTGCTGTGGAATTGACTGTGACTCTGTGAACTGAACCTGGCCCTATGCTGAAAGGGGTGGAAAAGCCTGTTTTATGCAAGTTTTCAGCCCTGGCCAGTAAGGTCTGCTAACCACTGGAATGTTTATGGAGAACTGATTGCAACATTCCCCTTTGTTCCAGCTCACTGCAGGGGCAGGAGGGCATGGTGGTCCTAGCAGCCACAAGGGCCACTGAGAACAGAGCCATGTCCAGCTGAGACCTGGAACTAGGAGACATGGTGTGTGAACTCAGGAATCAAGGCCAAAAGAAGATATGCAGCCTGAGGGGACCAGACTCAACAGGACGCCCCCAGACTGTGCACCCAGTGTGACCTAGCTCCTCCCAGGGGCCACAAAGTAGGGTGACCCACTGCAAGATCCGAGACCAGGCTGAGGGGGAACTCAAGGCCAGCATTTCCTGCATGATCCCTGGTATTTTGGTATTGTGTGTTATGTGGACTCAGAAACAACTCATAGCTGACCCTCTAGTGGGTTTTCGGAAGCAGTTTATCACACAGGAGACTGTCCATCCTTCTCTCATGGAGCAGCTGATGGATTCGAACCACATGCCTTTGGGATTGCAGCACAGCTTCTTACCACTAGGACACCAGAAGCCCCTACCTGGCATCTTACAGGAGGCTATTTTTAATTATAGGTGGCGTAGTGGTAAGGAGTCGTGCTGCCAACCCAAAGGCAGGCTGCTTGGATCCACCACCAGCTGCCTGAACAGATGAGTACCCCAAATGATTTATAGCCCAAAAATTAGCTAGAGGGTCACCTACGAGTTAGTTTTTAACTTGATGGCAGTTGTTGATATCTCTCTTCTGGCACAAAATAAACGTTATATGTAAACTAGGTATCTCCTCACATTTGCCCTCAAAAGGAACCAAGTGTTTTCCTCACTTGTTGACAGAGCCATTGAAGACACCCCTCTCCCGCCCATTTAGAGCCCCTAGGCTCCTTGCCCAGGGCCCATATAGCCTCCTCTCCAGAACACTGTTTTAGGAGTCCTTCCAGCAGCCCCTTCCCCATGTCCTGAACACCCACTGCCGACCAGGGTGCTTTCATCAGTGCTGTCAGAATTGCTTCCAATCTGCGGGGTGCTCACTAGTGGATATCTAAGCTCCAGGCTGTCTGTGGGGTTCTCCAATCTTACCCTCCATGTACAGAGAATGTCTGCAGGCTCTCCTGGGGCTGCCTGAGGCACAGCCCTACCATCAGCTCCATGGCAAGGCCACAGGCCTCTCTGCCCAGCCTGGCTCATTTTTCATGCAGCTCTGTCAAGGGCCTGTGTCTGCTCCTGGACTTCTGCCCCACCCAGAGTTCCTTTGTCTCATTTTTTGCAGACACATCCATGCACACAGTCCCGCCCACGACACATCTTTATTCTAGGATAACAATGCCTCTGCTCTGGGAAGGTGGCTGTCCTTAGTGTGAGGGTTTTCAGCCTGAGCCAGGGGTAGGGTCAAAACTCAGTGGCCACATCTGGAGAGACATCCAGGAAGATGGCTCTGGCCGGTGTACATGAGGCCAGTCAGTGTCTGACTATGAGCACAGCTGTGGGTACAACTATCAGGTCCCTTCACTGTTGAGTGCAGTGGGACCTCTGTCCGGCTCATCTCTGTCTCAGGTAGCAACCCCCAAACAGCCCTCCTGGCACAGCACATAGATCATTTCCTGAGATTAGAGTTCGTTCAGGGCAGGTGAGGCTGGACCAGAGGCCTAAGCGTGGACCTGGACAGAACCCATGCCAAGGACAGCTGCAGGCAGCACCAGCCCAAAGGAGTAGAGGTAGACTCAGTCAGGGTCCGAGTCAGCATCAGAGGAGAGCTGCCCTTCCATGGACTGGCACATGGCCTCCTGTAGGGATGTAAGTTGACCTCCAGGACTCATACCCATGGGTTGGATAACACGATGCCTGCAGAGATGGGTAAAGAGGGCTGTGTGTGGTCCTTGTCCCACCTGTTATGCAGCCAGCTTGCTCCCTCAGGGGGCCATGAGCCCACAGGCAGCCATATGCAGACCCTCCCTGGAAAAACAGCTCAGGAATTCCCTGCTGCCTGCCACGCACCTGGAGAGCCTGTCAAACATGTTCACCAGCTTCATGGCCTCATGCTCTTTCTGCTCCTCTGTCATGCCTTCCATGGGATTGGGCGGCTTCTCCTCCACTCTCCCCGTCACAGGGTTTATGCTGCTTTCAGGGGCACAGGGATCAGTGCCCACCCAGGATGAGAGGGACTGGATGGCATTTAGGCACTGCCATGTCCAGATACCTCTCAGGTTGCCCAGACCCTGTTCCCTGATACCCCAGGGCAGCTGTCGCTCAGGGCAACTCCCACCCATCCCCAGCAGGCCAGCTTCAAGAAGCAGGGCAGCACACCTGGCCTTGGCGTCCTTGTACTCCTCTGTGTCTGTGTCCTCATCCTCTGAGTACTGGCCTGAGCTCCGGCCCCCTGCCATGAGGCCCCTGGCAGCCAAAAGGCCAGCAGCGTTCCCATAGCCCGTGTACTTGATGAAGCGGGGCACTGTGGGCAGGTGGAAGTCAGAAGCAGGTGCAGGCAAAGGGATGGGGCGCCCTACCTCCACTCACCGCTCTCTGCACACAGGACGAACAGGAACTCAGCGGCCACACGCTTCACGTCAGTGTCCAGGTGTGTCATGAGACGGACTAGTCTGTTACGCAACAGTGTCCCCACCTCGGGGCGCGTGCTTACATCCCGCAGTGGGGGCAACACCTGGAGAGTGGCCTGTCCCTCAGCCCAGCTGCAGTACAGCAAGGTGGTGCCCAGGTCCCAGCCACCCCCAGACCACATACCTGGGCCTTCAAGAACTTCCTGGCTGGGCGTTGTGCACGGGCACATTCGGTCAGCACGCTCAGCACCGGGGCCACACTCTCCTTCAGCCGGTGTGTCTGTGAGGGATTCTCTGTCACTGCCAGCAGGTTCTGACAGCAGAGTGCCTTGAGGACCAGCTATGTGGTGGGGTCAGCTCTGAGAAACCCCTGTGGCCCACACCTCCCCTCTAAGATCACTCAGACTCTGGACACTGACTGGTTCTATGCCTTATCATCTCTTGTGAAGGCATCTGTGTTCATACTCTCCCACCCCCTTTCCCATTTATGTGACCATTTAGATGGTCCTGGGTGAGCACGCAAGCAGTTAGTATTGGAACAAGAAGCGGCTGCTCACAGGAAGCACCTTGCCCCTTGACTGTGGCTGGCAGCAGTGAAGACAGGTAGCCATGGTCTTAGGTCAGTCAGTGCTGGTGTTCACGTGATAGACATGCACAAAGTGGACATGGCACCCAAGTGCTGTTCCCCAGGTTGAGAGGGTCTGTTGTCTCCTGGGTGTCATCAAGCCTGTCCCATCATGTAAGACTGCCAGTTCTGGGGTCCCCACTAGTAATCTGACGCCACACTGGCCAGCGGCTTCTGTGCATGGTAACACCAAGAGTATGGGGGTCACACATACCAGGTCAGAGGCTTCACAGGACCGCACGAGAAAGCCAGAAACATTGAAAAGACCACAAGGAGAAACAGTCCACTGGACTAAGGAAATCAAGTAGTGTCACCACAGAGGGTCCACTATCCATTTCCTCCAGCTACCAAAAGGGAAACCTTCATGAGGACTCCGCAGGCTTCTCTGGGAGGACCACCAGGTGCTGGACCAGAGCCCTAGTCACATTAGAAACTTCTACTCACCAGGGCTGGTGGCAAAGAGGAAAGCCAGGCCGAAGCCCATGAACCTCTGCACCACACTCCCACCCACCTGGTCCAAACGCTGCTCCAGGAAGGCCAGGAGGGCAAGAATCACATCCATGTTCACACCCAGGAACTCCACAGAGCCTGCCTGCAGCTCTGGGGTTAGAAGCACATCCAGACACTCTGGGGGCAGGTTTCCCAGGAGGTTCACTGCGTGGCTGCAAACAAGGTAGGGGGCTACATCAGACAGATCCCCACGGCAGCCCTTCCTCTCCTCCCCTGCCTTGCTTTGCTCTTCTGAACCAGGCAGGCCCAGGAACACTGTCTATACCAGCCAGGGGAGGGTCAAGTGCAGACCATTCCTATCTACCTTAAGGCCCGCCCCATACCACCACCCACCTATAAACTGTGGCTACTCACACACACTGACACAGCCCCATCTTTGTCACCACCCACCTGTAAACTTCCTGTCCCACTTACCCACCTCAAGCCTGATTCTTACCCACGGAACTCTTCCGTTGTGTCTCCAGCAGCCGAGATCATAACACAGTGGCGCAGAAGTGTCCCCAGGTGCCGGAACAGCACAGCATCTTCCTAAGCCAAGGCAGAGGTTCTTGTAGGGGGTGTCCTACTCCACCCTGCTACTGCCAAGTGGTTCAGCTCACCACTCGGGACCACTTGCCTCCTGACTACCCTCCATGGTTCTCATGCTCTCGGGTGTGACTTGTTTGGGAGGCCTCAGTCACTCGCCTTAGAGGGCTTCTCCAAGTGGAAATGCCAGGAGCGCACGGTATGTTGACAAAGTCCACATGCCACTCCGCCTCACCCACACACCTGACATAGAGGCCTAGAACCCAACATCCTTGCCCTTCAGAGAGGCACCTCTGAGGCCTCTTCTGCTCTTCCAACTGGTGGCAACTCTGGTCCTCTCCACCAGTGATACTAGGAACCTCGGTGGGACCTCTGGGTCAGGCCCTCACCTCATCCACCTCCTTCTTGACTGAGTCAAAGGTGATGTTAAAGAGGACTTTGAGGACCTCCATGGCTCGTTCTGTCTCCTGGGCAGGGAGCCGTTCGAGGGCGCTCTCCTCCGGAGTTGTGCCAAGTGTCATCTCCAGCGCTTTGGTCAGCAGGCGCACGCCCTGCAGCTCCCGAAACAGTTGCTGGCGCACATCAGTGCGCAGTGCCGTCAGCAGGAAGAGCAGCCGCAGGTCGAAGAACTGGACTTCGTGGGGGAAGCTTCGCTGGCCATAAAGCGCCACGCGCTGGGCGAGCCTGACTACCAGGTGGGCCTCCGCAGCCAGCACCTGCGCTCTGGGGCTGCTGAGCACGAGGTTGCACAGGCACTTGAGGGCTTCAAGCACAATGTCCATGTCTGGAGGCTCAGCGTCTGGCACCAAAGAGGCGGAGATGCCAGCATAGAGAGCCAGGGCCTGCAGGCTCCGGCGGCCTGTGAAGCAATCCAGGCAGCTGCGGTCCCGGGATAGGATGCGCAGGCTCTGCAGCCAGGCGACGCGGCGGGAGGGCGCCAGGCCCTGCTCCAGGGCGCCCACAAGCAGCCTTGCCAGTCTCTGAAGAGAAAAGGGGCGAGACTGCCGTCCAATCCCGTCGTGGTCCCGCCCCGTCCCGTGCCCGGGCCTGCACCCACCTGCCTGTCTTCCTGCTGGGCATCATCGAACGTGAAGCTCTGGGAATTCTGCAGAGACACAGGTGGCTCACAGGTTCCCCAAGGGGACAGGACAGTGCTGGGTGCACCCCACGCACCCGTACGCGTCCTGCAGCCTCCGCCCCGCCGCGCAAGACCTGCTCACCCTCCCGCCAGGCCTGTGGCCACTTGTGCTCACCTCCCGGTTATAAGTCTGCAAGGCCTCCATCATCGCGCCCTCCTCCCCGGTCTCCACGGCATCGGCCACTGCCCGAGGCTCCATGGCGCCCTCGCGACCGGTGCGAGGAGGATCTGGTGGGGGACGGGGGCGCGGGGGATTGTCGGTCCAGGAGTGCGGCCACCACCACCGTTCAGCCCCAGTCCTCCCGCCCCGCCCTAGGAGCGCAGAGGCCGCACCGGAAATGCGCGCTGCAGGGCGGAGTCTGGGCGGAGACGAGGCCCGGCAGGCCCGGACCTAAACTAGGGACTGCGGACACAACTCGTGCACAGCAACCCAAAATAATTGGTGCTGTTGACGCAATAACAGTGGTAGTGGGGTCTGGTCATCGTGAGGTCGGCTCAGGACATGGCAAGGTTCAGAGCTGTTGTTGAGAGGATCGCTGTGAGTTTGGACTAGGCACCGAATATGACTACGCCAAAAAGAATTGGCCCACAGGCGATCATTTCAGGAATCAAGAAGCGGTGAAACAAAGTAAGAAGTTCAAGCTGCTCTGTAGACACTGGCAAAAAAAATAAGGCCCCAGAAATTGATGGATTACCAACCGCTACGGCGCAGGAGAGGAAGGCCCTCTATGAGGTGGATTGATTCAGTGACTGGGATAATTGGGATGGGAGTGTCAGAGACAGTGCGATTGACACAGGACAGAGCGGAGTTTAGGGCTGTTGTACATAGGGTCGCTATGAGTCGCAGGCGACTCGACGGCACATAACAACAACAACAATTTTCATTAAACAGATGCAGCCCTGGACGTGCTAATTAGCTTATGCTAAGAAATTTGGAAGACTGGCCCAGTGAGTGGAAGAAATCCATTTTTGTTCCCGTTCCCAAAAGAAGTGATAGCAATTATCCATCCATTCGTTATCACATTCAAGTAAAATCATGCTGAAGATTATTCAAAACAGCTGCAACAGTACATTGACAGAACTGCTGGAAATTCAAGCTGAATCCAGTAGAAGCCTTGGAATGAGAGATATCATTGTTGATGTCAGATGAATCTTGACATCAGAGAATACCAGAAAGATAATTTGTTTAGCGATTATGCAAAGGCAGTTGCTTGTATGGATCATAACAGACAGATAACATTGGGAAGAATGGGAATCCCAGAACAGTTAGTTGGACTCACTTGAAAATTATATACAGATAAATAAGCAGTTGTTCAAATAGAACAAGGGAACACTGAATGGTTTAAAGTCAAGAAAGGTGTGTGTCAAGGTTCCATTTTTATAACTTAATTTTACATAACTTACAATTCAATTTTTTTGCTGAACACATAATTCAAGAAGCTGGACTATATAAAGAAGAATATGGCATCAGGGTTGGAGGAAGACTCATCCACAACTGGCATTGTGCAGATGACACATTCTTGTTTGTGGAAAGTGAAGATGACTTGAAGCACTTACAGAAGAAAATCAGACTGTAGCTTTCAACATGGATTACATTTCGGCACCAAGAAGACAAATTTCCTCACTACTGGATCAATAGGTAATACCATGATAGATGGGGAAATGTTGCAGACCGAGGGTCCCAAAGAATAGAATAATTTTATAATTATTAATAAAGAGACAAACAGCCAGGAATGAGATAGAGCAGAGAGCGTAAAACAGAGGGTCAGCAGTTCTCGACTGAAGACCTCAAGCCATGCTTCTCTGAGTATTTATTTAGAATCATAAGATAATAAAAGTAAATTCACAAGGAAGTACAAAACAAAGGATAATGGTGAAGTCTTTTACAGATAAGGCCAAGTTCCTCTTTATGCTAATCTCAAGAGGGAGGGGTTCATTTGACACAAGCTAAGAACGATGTTAACTCCTAGGGAACGTCCCATTGCCACAAGGTGGCCTTCAGTTTGTATCAAGCTTCCCTCATTTCCAACATTTGGTCTACTATTATTAAATTTGATATTTGGCTTCCCTCAGAGAAAAGATTGACGTTATAAACAATTTCCTTTTATTTGGATCTATGAGCAGTACCTATCATAGCAGCAGTCAAGTAATCAAAAGACTTATTGCATTGGGAAAATCTGCTGTCAAGGACAGTTTAAAGACTAAGGTGCTCCTGATCCAAGCAATGAGTTTCTTATACATCTGAAAGTTGGGTAAAGAATAAGGAACTTGGAAGAATTGCAGCTTTTGAATTGTGGTGTGAGTGAAAACTATTGAATATATAAAAGAACAAACAAATTTGTCTTGGGGAAAGTGCAACCAGGCTGCTTCTTAGATTGTGGATGTTGTCAGGAGGGGCCAGTTCTTGGAAAAAGGCATCATGCTGAAAAAGGTAGAGATCAGAAAAAGAAAGGAAACTTAAATAAAAGGGAATGACACAGTGATTCTAACAGTAGGGTTCAGCATGGTAGAAAGGTTCTGCTTTGTGGTTCATAATGACACTATGAGTGGTAGTTCATTCCATGGCATCTAACAATTGACCCTGAAGCTTCAGGATGGAATCTGTCTTGGTGTGCACTTATCATTTCTCAGAAGCATAAGGTAGGTTGTTGATGAGTCTTCCTCCAATTCTGATGTTACATTTCTCCTCATAAAGCCCTGCTTACTGAATGATCTATTCTGCATGTGGATTGAAAAGATATTAAAAGGATGCATCCCTAACACACTCTTTTCCTGATTTTGAACCATGCAGTTGTCTCCCTGCTCTGTTCTGAGGACTGCTTCCTGATCCAAGGATAGGTTTTGCACAAGCACAATCAAGTGTTCTGGTATTCCCATTTTCTTCAAGGTTAACCACAATTTGTTGTGATTCTTTATGAATATTAAGAAAATTATAAAGTCCTGTGACTTTAACCCTCTCAGACTGTCCTTGCATTGCCAAAGCACTTGTAAGAACCAGCTCTGATTTTCGTTCCCAAGCCTTTTCTTTCTAATAAAGTGCCCGTAACACAGAGTTTTATCTTTGTGTTCCTATTTAGACTTGGCAAGAACTGTTAAATGTGAGGTGCCAATGACAAAATTATTTCAGCTTGATAAGAAAGTCTTCCTCAAGATTTTCTTTCCAGCTAAGAGCATAAAGGGCTCTTTAAATTGGGTTTCTGAAGTAAGAAATAATTCTTCCCTTTATAATATTATGGGGGGAAATGTTAGTTTAAAAATACAGTTTCTTATTGCTTTTAAGTTTAATACTGTTTGGCAAAAAACTTTAATTGATTTAGTCAACTGCCCAGGTTGAATCTATTAAGAGATCTATTAAAGGATGTGGATTATGAGAAACACATTGTGTTTATAAACTGAATTGGCTCTTTGCCAAGTTACTGTAGCTTATATAGTGTTCAAACAAAATGCCAAGTAGTCGAGTATGCTTGAGGATTAATGGACGGGGACCCTCCTTCTTGGCTTCATCTTTGACTGGCTCACGGCTTGGGCTGGGACTTCAATTGAGCTCCAGATCACCAAGAGAAAGGTAACTCAAAGGGAGATAAGCAATGCAAAAGAGAAAACAGCAGTTAAGTGTGAAATGTACTCAAACTCGAGTTCTTTTTATCTCTTCACCACTTGCTAATAATTCCTGTGAGGGAGCAAGTTGAGGTGACTGAAAGAAAGTGAACATACATACATACAGTGGTAACTTAGCAAAACAAGTGAAAAGGTAATGCAAAGGAAGAATGGTTGGTTCAAGACAGGCCCTGGGAAAAGAGGTAAAGGGAAAATGAAAGAAGGGGGTAACACCTCTGGAAAGTCAGGGATGGCCCTAAACCTGTTGGCATGCTGCCAAGAAGAGAGAAGAGCCTCAGGTGGGCCTGGCTATTTATTGGCTCCCAGTCCTGTGAGACTGCTCACAGCCCAGCCCAGCCTAGGGGTGTGTGGGACTACTTGGGTTTGGATCCCTTGCATTCCTAAGGAGGGGACTTCTTTACCTTGATGTCATTGACTTCCCTTCCTATATTTCCTGAGAAACGTTGGTTTTTGTTTTTTTTTTTTAGAAACGTTGTTTTTAAACCTCTCCTATGGGAGTGTTTTCCTGCGAAACTTTCTTCTAGGTTGTATAGCACTGGTCTGTGCGTTGCTGTGCAGAGGTAACTCGTGGTTGCTGTGATGCTGAAGCCTGTGACAGTGGCGAAGCAGGAGCGGCATCCACTTCCGAAATGGCTTGCCTCGGGAAACTATGTACGAACAGTGCTCAGGCTGTTCGTTCATAGGGTCGCTATGAGTCGTCTACGACACCAAACAACAACCGACATGGGAGTGGGATCACGCGAGAGAAATACACAGGGACCGATCAGGTAGCAATTTTATCCCTAATAGGGTAGGGGGCGGAACATGGAGATGTGAGTCCACCCGGCTCAGCCTAAACCCCAGGTCAGGGAGGGGCCGGCAGGCGAGTGCCCGCTCCCCGGAGACGTTCGGCGAAGGTTCCCAAGGCCAGAGCCCGGCGCACGCGGCGACCAGGGGCAACGCTAGTTGGGATAACGGAATGAGTGTCCTCCGCACACCAGTTTAAGGCTAAGCAAACACTCGCAGCCCCTTCCTCCAGCGGCAACGCGTCACCGACACCACCCAGACACCGTCTCGGAGACGGAAGCCGGACGCTCTCGCGCCGGAAGGGGCGGTCCCAAGGGACGGACCCGGAAGCCCCTTCTCGTGACACAGCGACACGTCGGTGGCGGTGGCCTTGGTCGTGGCGGTGGCCTAGGCCGTGACCGTGACCGCGACAGGGCTGGAACTGGGGAAGGAGGATTGGGCCTGAGTCGGGCGCGATGGCGGATTGGGGTCGCGGTGAGCGTGAGGAGCGGGGTCGGTGGGCCCAGAGAGCAGGACCAGAACCTGAAGGGCCCGGACGGGGCAGGCCGGTGCTTCCGGGCCCTTTTCGGGGCGGGGACGCCTGAGCGGAGCCAGGAACCCTGGATGCTCCCTGTCCCGCGCCCTCTGCTCCTGAGAGACAGACCCATGGGGTCGGGTGAGCCGGGCCTGGGTGCGCCTCGGAGGGCCATTGAGCACTGTTCCCGAGTTACGTGAAGGTGGTGATTTCGGGGATCCAGGCAGGCGCAAAGCCTCCCCTCGGAGCCTCTGTGGTCTCGTCCATGGGGTTGCGACGCAGGTCCCACCGGGCTGTCAGATGAATAAAGGGTAGAGTATTGGAAGATCTTTGGAGGCAAGGGTTCTAAGGCTCCGTCTAACATACTTTGGACATGTTCTAAGGAGGGACAGGTCCTTGGAGAAGGACATCATGCTTGGGAGGGTGGAGGGACAGCGCAGGAGGAGAAGACCCTCTATGAGGTGGATTGATTCGGTGACTGGGGTAATCGGGATGGGTGTCTCGGAGACGGTGGAGTTGGCGCAGGATAGAGCAGGGTTTAGGGCTGTTGTACATAGGGTCGCTATGAGTCGCAAACGACTCGACGGCACATTATAACAACAGCACTGAAAGATCATTGGCCCAGTTGGTTTCCCTACGCCAGGGGCTGCCTACTTCGTCCTGAGTCACATGGACGTTGGTGACCAGGATGCATGGGATATCAGGGGGTGGTGATTCCCATCCACCTGATGAGAGTGTCCAGTCTATAATCAAGCAGCCCCCGTCAGACTTGAGGATAGCAGTGTCTGCTCACAGCCGACCCAGTGCCCCTAGTCGTCTGTCACTGCTTTAAGGATTCACCTCACAGCCATCCCCAGAGGAGCTTCCACATGCCCTCTGGGCCCGGTCAGGTGGTGCCTGCACACTGTGCAGCTGTCAGTTGAGGGTACTGCGCAGATCTTGCTTCTATCTTGTACATCAGAGCTTGGACTAGGTCTCAGCAGAGGCAGATCAAAAAGAACCAGTTGGCCGATCCTGTTGAGGGTGGGTGTTCCACCTCTCAGTCTACACACTGTGCCACAGGCTCCTCACTGGGACCTAGACTAGGGCTCACCTGCCCAGCACATTAGGACCCACAGCTGCCTAGCAGGTCACAGGAGGAGGGGACCCAGGCCCACCAAGAGGTCTTTCTGGACCCACTAGGATGAATGAGGGTCCTGAGGCTGCAGAGGGTTCACTCTCTGACATCTAGGGGTGAGGTGTCCACAGGTGGTGCAGTACCTCCCTTTCTCTACAGCTCAGAGCCCTGGTGCTGTGGATGACATTCTGGACCAGGAGAACAAGCGGATGGCAGACCACCTGGCCTCTAAGGTCACCCGGCTCAAGACGGTCTGTGTAGTCAGGTTTGGGACCTGAAAGTGGACCATGGGGTGGAGATGGGGTGGTTCTGGGCAGTATACCTGCCTCCTCACTCTGTCCATGCTCACCTGTCATACGGGTCTTGGCTGACACTTGGCAGGGTCTGGCAGATATTGCAGGGAGGGTAGAGGCTGTCCAGTGTGTCTGACCCTGGCCTAAGCCCACCATCTCTGTCCCCTGACCAGTTGGCTCTGGACATTGATAGGGATGCAGAGGAGCAGAACCGTTTCCTGGACAATGTGGTAGGTGCATGCATCCCTCTCTAGGCTTGATTTGACCCCTTTCTTGGATTATCTCTGATACTTGCACCCCTTACCCTGCCTGTATACCCCTCCTGCCTTGTACCCCATGCTTTCTGTGCACCCCATCTCTATTCCCCCCTCCCCCACCCCCCCGTTCCATGCCATTTCTGCTATATGCAACAGTCCTCTTTCCTCAGGACTCAGACTTCTTGAGTGTGACGGGCCTGCTCAGCGGGAGTGTGAAGCGCTTCTCCACCATGGCAAGGTCTGGCAGGGACAACCGGAAACTTATGTGTGGCGTGGTAGCAGGCTTGCTTATAGCCTTCTTCATTCTCTCCTACCTCCTGTCAAAGGCGAGGACATGAGGGACGGCCCCAGCCCGGGCTTCCCCATGAGGCACCCCCTCAAGTGCGATATGTGTGCTGGAGGCCTTTTCCTTGTGTGGTCACGAGGCTTGTCGACTGTTCTGCGTGTGGAAGATGGCAGCTCCACATCTGTGATCTGAGGAGCCCAGTGATGGCCTGGCTTAAATGTGGGACCTTCAGTATACATGTGTCCAGTTTCCGAGGACCAGTTTTATACCTACACTGGATCCCTACAGCCCTCCCTAAAGCTCACCCTTTTGGGCAGGCAGGTTGTGGCCTGAAGATAAAGGAGCTGGAGCTCATGCTGGCAGGATTCTGTCCCAGCAGCACCAAAGCAGGGCTTCCAGAGCAGGCGTGGGATGCCTGTATGCCAGGGTTGGGCAGAGCATGGGCTCTCCTGGTGAGAATTTCTGTTGATGGATGGCCAGGCTACTGCAGCCATTGCTATGCCTCCCAGCTCCCACAGCAGCACTCTTTTTCTCCTGTCTGTGGAGCCTTCTGTGTCCTGGTGTGTCACCAGACCCACAGCTTTTACAGGCCTCGCTTTTCACCTGATCAGGCCATGCTTGACTCTTACCACATGGCCGGACTTCACATGGGATACTGAGAATGAACCTTCAGCCATGTGTCTGGGATTTGTCCAGCTAGTTTACTTTCACCTCAGAAGCTCACGTCAGTCCTTAGCCCACAGCCGCCCTTCCCCATTACTTGTCACCTGTCCCATGGAACCTTGTTTAAGGACTCAAAGCCTCCGGAAGGCATTGTCTCACCTCTTTATTTAACTTCATCAGTGCCTCCCTCTCCCAGCTGACGCACATCTGTTCCTGCCACTGAGTGAATGAATCGACTGCCTGGTGAGGCCCTTCCTGAACTCCCATGCGCTTCAGTCTTATACTGTGTACACTGGTGTGCTGTCAACTGCTCGAATGTTATATCTGCGAACTGTCAGAGTCAAATACAGGGATAGAGACTCCCAGAGCTCTGCCATGCTGTCTTAGTAGGGAAAAGGGAAAGGTCTTTTCTCAGCACTAGTAAAGCCAGTCTGCTTTCCACAGGGGCGGTAAGTGATAATCCATTGTCTGTATTCACCTCTCCTGTCTGCTTTCTGTATCCTGCTATTTGGCACATGGCTCTCCAAACAGTATTAGATCAGGGAGAAAGGGACTTGGATATGATGTGACAGGAGCCTGACCTGAGGTGAGGAGGCTGAGGAATGCTGTTCTTCTCACTCCTGTCCTGTTCAGTGCATAATAAACTGGTGACTTTTCCATATACCACTACGTCTGGTCTGTCTGTATGAGAAACTTGTGGATGTAGTGGGGCACCGGATTTAATAACTCTAGAGGCTCCAGAGGCACCTTGGTGCTCCCTGCTGGGAAACCTTGTCTGTGAAGTGTGTGTGTGTGTGTGTGCGTGTGTGTAAACACACCTTGTTGATGAGTTTCTGCTTTCAATTTTTCATACCTTGCCTATGAGCACTTGTTGGAGGAACTGTTCATGGAGGTGGCCACACATGACTGTCAGGCTATTTGTCAGCTCTTGGTCCTGCAGTGCCTCAGCTGGTGCTCACGGCCTGCTGGACTCCAGAGCAGCGCCCACACACAGATGTGTTCTTACCACTCTGGTCTGCCCCTTGGTATTTTCAGGACATGCAGGCTGTTGTTTGCCTGCATGAAGCGTTCTAGCCAGATCTCCCCCACATAACAGTCTCTGGCCAGCCATGGGTTTCTCCCCACCCATTCCTCAGTCCCTGGGCTGGCTCAGCAATCGTCTGAGTTAATAACTTGAAATTTACCTTTGGGATCGGCAGCAAGAATTTTACTCTACTTACCCTCTCTGCTCTTCTACCTGACTTCTTGCCATGAGGACCTTCTACTTGTGGACAGATTACCTATTACCTGATTTTGACAACCTGGTGTGGGGTCTCCATGGGGAAGAGAAGCCTGAGACAAGGCTCAACCCCCCCCAGCCAGAGCCAGTGCCAGGTCCTGGGGATCAGATGCTTAGGCTGGAGTCCTCACTGACTCTTGAATGCCTGTGTTCCTTCTGCAAACGCAACTGTGAGTCCCAGACCATCTCCTGGCTGTTGCTGTGTCCCATCCTGTGAGGTTACATTTGCCTGAGGTGTGGTGCTACACAAGAGCACTCTGCACCCACCATTTCTGCCTGCTTACCAGCCAGCTGGGGCTACATTGTCTATAGCTATACCACCTGCAACTGAGCTGGCAAGAGGCTCCCCCTGGCCAACAAATAGGCCACAGGACCCAGGGCACTTCCAAGGAGGAAATGCAGGTTCCAAGGGTGCCAGAAAGTCTTCAGGACCCTCTCTGCCTTCCTGTACCCCCTCCACTTCTTCCTAGGAGGCTAGGAAGACCCTGAGACCCTGTTTTCACCAGGGGAGGGTGACCTAGGCTTTCTGGTGGAGGCTAGATTTTAGGGGAAGGTCTGGATTTGAGACTACAGGAGGTTTTGGGGAGCAAAGCCTGACAGGATATAGTTGGAAGAGCCCCTGTGGGGAATGGGAAGGGTCTCCAGTATTTCCAAGGTATTTCCAACCCTCCCACCAAACTGTTAGGCCCCACTTGTCCTTTTCACACACACAGAAGAGTCTGCTTAATAAATGCCTTATGAATGGAGGGGAGGAAATCTTGTTTTAGGATGTGTGCAAGAGGTTATCCTAGATGGTGGCAGGACTGATTCAATTCTTTGCACTCCACCTCCCCTCAGGGGGAGAGGAGCAAAGTGGCTCTATGACAGGACTTTAGAACTAAAGTCACAAAAGCATATGTGAGGGAAGCTTAATACAAGCTGAAGGTCACCTTCTGACACTGGGGCATTCCCTAGGAGTCAACATTGTTCTTAGTTTGTATCAAATGAATCCCTCCATCTTGAGATTAACATAAAGAGGAACTTGGCCTTATCTGTAAAAGACTTCACCATTATCCTTTGTTTTGTACTTCCTTGTGAATTTACTTTTATTATCTTATGATTCTAAATAAATACTCAGAGAAGCATGGCTTGAGGTCTTCAGTCGAGAACTGCTGACCCCCTGTTTTATGCTCTCTGCTCTATCTCATTCCTGGCTGTTTGTCTCTTTATTAATAATTATAAAATTATTCTATTCTTTGGGACCCTCGGTCTGCAACACATATGCTGCTTTAGAGTGATGTAACAAGCAGGTGTGTCCTGGATTCCATCTCAAAGCCTGCTTCCTGCACAAGCTGCCGTGCTTGGGGCAGCATAGCCGTGGCTTCGCACAGCTGGTTCCGTTCTGCTGCTGCTGCTTCTTGGCCTCCTTTTTTTGCCGTCTCTTGCTGTCACACACCATCTCTAGTGTTGTAGCTCTTTCAGCCTTGCGTCTATGAGAATCTCAGTGAGGGATTCCAGTTCTACTCCCATCTCTTCTTGGTGGTGATAATCTCCCTTTTCTGCACTTTTACATTGGCTCTTTTTAAGCCTAGCAGGACAGCAAAAGTCATCAGAACTCTCATTAGGGTCCCATGCAGCTTATTTGCATGGTCCCCTTCCCACAATGGTGCCATACACCTTATTGCAATTACTAGCAAGTTGTCCAATAAGGCATTATGACAAACATTTTGTTACATAGTCTCATCCATTTTTCTGGTGACAGGTACAAGACTGGCTAGATAGGCCATATAAAAGTGATCTATCACCTCACAATGCTCTTCACCAGAGAGTGATCCCGCATGTGGATATGTCCAAAATATCTGCGAAGACATCTAGATATTTCTTTGAAGACCTAATTCATTCTTAATGGCTGTCCATAGTACAATCAGTATTCTTCATCAATGCAATAAAATGCATCACTTTTTCAATCTTCCTTACTTGTTGTTCAGCATTCATGTGTATAAGGCAATTGAAAATATGGCTCCTATCATTTCAAGGTGACAGTTTAAAAAAAGAGTTCAGAATAAGATCTATAAATAGTAAGGGGGGGGGCAACGGAGTATATAACAGTGAAAGAACTTTTTTTCCCAAAGAAAAAAGGAAACGGGGCGGGGGGGAGGCAACAATGAATGAATAGAAATCCAAGTTCTTTATAAACTCATTAAAATCTCAATTTAGGACTTGGTTCTATAAGCCCGTGAGAACGGGCTTGAGGGACCCTTTCTACGAAGATGGCGCCGAAAGCCAAGAAGGAAGCCCCTGCCCCTCCCAAAACTGAAGCCAAAGCAAAGGCATTAAAGGCCAAGAAGGCAGTCCTGAAGGGCGTCCACAGCCAAACCGGCAGCCTAAGATGCTGAGCCTCCGAAGGCAGCCCAAATACCCCTGGAAGAGCTCCCCCAGGAGAAACAAGCTTGACCACTATGCCATCATCAAATTTCCCCTGACCATTGAGTCAGCTAAGAAGAAGATAGAAGATAACAATACACTTGTGTTCATTGTGGATGTCAAGGCCAATAAGCACCAAATTAAACAAGCTGTAAAGAAGCTCTATGACATTGATGCGGCTAAGGTCAACACTTTGATTAGGCCTGATGGAGAGAAGGCCTGTGTTTGACTTGCTCCTGATTATGATGCTTTGGATGTTGCCAACAAAATTGGGATCATCTAAACTGAGTCCAGCGGGCTAATTCTAAATATAAATTTTTCTCACACACACACAAAAAAAATCTCAATTTAAAAAAAAGAAAAATAAATCAAATGAAGGAAGCTCTGGTGGCCTAGTGGCAAGAAGCTACACTACAATCCTGAAGGTATGCGTTTCAAATCCACCAGAGGCTCTGCTGGAGAAGTAGAAGTAATCTCCTTCTGTGCCAGTTGGATCCAATTTGATAATACACAACAAGAAAAGAAAATGATCTATTGCATTGTGCAAGTCTGTTGCAGAAGACATTTTGATGACTTTTTTTTCCTTAGTAAAGATCCTTTATAGCATTTATAGGACTTAGATGCATCTGACCCAACTGTGATATTTTCATTTACCTCATATGGATTTGAAAGCTGTACTTTGAATAAGAAGATAAAAGATTATGCATTTGAATTATGACGTTGACAAAGACTATTGAACTGACCATGAATTGACAAGAGAAAAAACAGATATGTCTTTGAAGAAGTACAAGCAGAATGCTCTTCAGACAGGGTATCAAGAGAGACCAAGCTGTCAAGAAGGCCATCATTCTTGAGAGGGTCAATGAAAAAGAATAACCGTCAAGGAGGTAGCTAGTGGCTGCAGCAGTGGACTCCAGCACAGGAATGACTGTGATAATTGATCCCTGCAGTTCTTTTGTGTTTGGTGTCTATGAGTTAGGACTGAGTCAAAGGCATCTAAAAACAATATGAACTCCAGGCTTCCTAAAGCTATAGAGATAGATGAAGATCCTAAGCCATTGCTCTGAAGTAGTCTTTAAGCCTTATGCTACAAATACACCCTCAAGTCTTCTTAAACTCACACAATCATTTAATTAGTTGTTCCAGTGGCTTGGTGGTAAGTTGTGCTGCCTCAAAGCCCCAAATCCACCAGCTGCTCTGTGGGAGAACGACGAGCAAATATCTTCCCATTTGCTTTACAACCTCTGTGAACCCACTGGAGGGTCAGCTATGAGTCTGTTCTGACTCAATGACACACAACATCAGTTTAAAAAGCAACAAAAAACACAGCCAAGATCCTGATGCTCTTCTAATAACTATCTTTATGGGCTTAAATTGATAACTGAAAATATTAGATAGTAACCTTCAGGGGCTGAGAATGGAGGAGGTACAACTCAGAAAGGAAGACTGATGATGGTTGCATAATTTGAAGAGTGTAGCTCATGTCATTGAATGGTATACATAGAAACTGTCTTATTGGTATGTGTTGTGCTGTGTATATTCTCAAAAACAAAAGCAAGCAAACCTGCAGTCTGCCTTTTCTTCTTGTCCTTAAGGCCCTTCTCCCTTGCCCCTCCTCCCTGGGTCACTGCCCTTCTTCTGGATGCAGACTTCCTGATGTCCAGGGTTTCTGGGCTGTAGGAGTGACTCAAAGCCCCTGTTCTGTGGCATCTTCACTTTCACACGGAGGCAGAAGCTTTTCTGAGAGGCATAAATGGATGCAGTCAGCCCAGCACAGTGAAGACAATGTGTATGTGCCTTCCAGTCAAAGCCCACAGATGACTATAGTAGCATTGTGCCTCATTCCCTCCACAAAGGCTTTGTGGTCACCTCCAGACTTAGGGCTCCACCTACTACACAGTCTGCCCTATTCCTATCATGTATTCAGCCTCCACCCAGTACTGGCCCATTTGGAGACTCCCTTCTTAACCCTTCCATACTTGACCTGTGTCATCATGATCAATCAGATGACAGATCACCCAAGTCTCAGTGTCTTAAAGCAGCAGCAACCATTTATTGCATCTCAGAGATTCTGTGCTGGGCTTTCACTCAGGCAGACTATAGTGTCAGCTCTCTACTGTCCCCCCAGCTGGAGACACAGAAACTAGGCTGACCCTGGGATGGTGCACACAGTCTCAACATGAGCTGGATTCCTCACAGCATGGCAGCTGCTCAGAGACCCAGCAGAGACAGACAGACAGATAGACAGAGACAGTGTGGTCCGGGCAGAAGCTGCTGGGGTGGCCACAGGCTGCGGTTCACATTCCAATTGGAAGGCAGATCTTACTCCTTGTTGAACACCTGGGAGGGTCCTGGGGTTGCTTCCTCCATCACTGAGAGGGCCAGGGTCTAGTCTGTAGCATTGGGAGGGAGGATGAAGGAGGCCCTTGCTTGGACCACTCATTCCTCAAGCCCCACAGGGGCCCGGACTAGAAAAGTGCCTCCCTTCCACCCCCAAGACAAAGCCATCTCAAACAGAATCCATGATTTATTACATATCTATGCACATCAAGAAAAGTTAGGGGAGAAGTGATGTAGAAAAATAGAAGCTGGTCACGGCAGACTATGCTTTTGGCTCACAGCCTAGTGGCCAAAACTCAGCAGAGGGTCTCGGCAGGAGCAGCAATTAGTTCTTGTGGGAACATGATGAGGCCAAGGCTGGGGCCCATGTTTGGTGGCTACTCCACGTCCACCACCAAGGGCATCATGTAGTCTGAGTGCTTGATGCCAAAGCTCACCACAGGTGCGCAGGGCCTAGTCAGTGTCACCTGGGGACAGGGGTCATGAGAGGAGTTCCTGCATGTTAGCGCTATGGCTGGACACTCCCAACCCTCCTATCCCCACTCCCCACAGCCTGGTAGGCAACACATATTACAAGTGTCCACTCTTTCCAGCTCTCTGCAACTTCTGACCACCCATTGCTGGGAGGGTAGTCTTGGGTTGCAGCTGGACACACATTGGGTCCTGAGGTCTCCTGCACCCCTTCTTTGCCCCTCACCTCCCCCTCTCAGAGCCTTCCACTGCTGAGACACAGAGCCAAAACAACAAGCCCTTCACAGCCTCATTTGTAGCTCCTGCCCACCTTGCCCCTGGACAGTGACCCCATTTTTCATTCCCTAACACCCCTCATCCTCTGGACAGTGACCCCTGTGCCTTCAGGACAGTGACTTTGTTTCTTCTCCCCCAAATCCCCCACCTTTTGGACAGTGACCCCTGTCCCTCTGGGTCATGCTCCCTTCAGACCTTCTCTGGACTATGGGCTCCTGGTCCTGGTTTGAGGGTCTTGTCCCCTGGGGTTTCCACACGGGCAGCCATGGTATACTGTGGTGCCTTAAGCTTGGTCAGCTGCATGTCGGTCTGGCGGTAGGCAGCAGGACCTGGGGTCTGGGTAGGAGGCAACTCAGAACTTGCAGGAAAGTGCCATCACCAGCCCCTGATCTCAGGGAGAAGGTCTCCAGCACCTCCACATCATCTTGCGGCCCTCCCTGCTCGTGACCCTTCCTCCCTCCCTGTGCGTGGCCCTCCCCATGCATGACCCTCCCTCCCTGCACGTGCCCCTCTCTGCGCGTGGTCCTCTCTGTGTGACTTGTGCCTTCTCAGTCCCTTCTCCATAGTTTGACATCAGAAGAGACCATGTCTGTACTCTTCTCAGCACTGCTTCTCGAGGCTGCCTTCTGCTGAGCCGACAGCACCCACTTTGTGGGACCCCTGCTCTGTGACCACCTGGTGTTCAGCTCCGATGGATAGAACCTTTCTTACTGTGTTCTGCTTATTGTGGCCCCTCAGCTTGATTTGTGCTCGCACATGGTGACCACTGGGAGGGCGAGGGCCAAAGGAATGGGGAATGAAGGGGACCTAGGGATAGTGAGGGCTTTGAGGGAGCCAGGGAGTCCAAGGAAGAATGAAGTCCTGAGGAACCCGAGAGAGAAGAGGGGCTTCGGGAGAAGAAAGACCCCAATTTACCTTCAGGAGTCATGGTCATGGGGAGGGCTGAGCAGTGGGTGTGTGGAGCCAGCATGTGTTAGGTAAACGTAACACCTTAGGCCTAACCTTAAACATGATCCTAACTCCCATCCTGACGCTTGCCTTGTGAAGGTCGTCGCTAAAGCTGCCCAGTTTGCTGCGCCCCTTGATGGAGAAGGAGGGCAGGGAGGTTTTGCCCACTGCATGAGGCCCCATCACAACGGGCAGTGCATAGGCTGCGGGACCTAGGGAACAGGGCAGCCTTCAGCCAGCAGCATCAGCCTTGGATCCCAGCCTTGCCTGACAGCCCCTCCCCAAGCCGTTAGTGGACTGTGGCTACACACCTGGGGTACTGTCCACTCGGAACGTCTTAGTCCGGGCTGAGATAGAGTGGCTGGGGGCCGAGTCGAACACATGCTTGGTGGATCTCTCTGGGAAGTAATCACCTGGAGGGTGAAGGTGTCATGGGGTGTTGGTTTAAGGCCCCCGGGGAGTGAGTGCCTGGCATGCTGTAGGCATGAACATGGGTTTGGGCTAGAGGCAGAGCTGTGGTCTGAGGAAGGAAAGGACCCCTGAGAGAGGGGGGCTGAGGCCCCAGGTTCAACACTGTCCTCATCTTCTGGGACAGGCTGGGTAGGGTCTTGCCAGGCTCACCAGGGCCGGGTGTTAATGCAGTCTTGGTGTGGTAGCGCCCCAGGATGGAGTAGGCAGGGCCCAGGTCCTTGCCGGTCCTCAGGATCTTGGGGTTCACACTGTAGCGGGGCCCTGGGGAGCAGTTCTCCGCCAGGAGCATGGGGGCCCCACGAAAGCTATAGGCTGGTGCCCGCAGCTTGGTGGGGGTGTGCTTCATGAAGCCTGTGGGGGGTTGTGCTCAACCAGGAACTAGCAGGTGCTCCCCTCTCTCCCTTTTCTGTACCTCCCTGGGCTGTCCCTGCTCCTCCTCCCAGCTTGGAGGGTCCTACCTGTGGTGGGTGGAATCAGGTATTTGGGTCCAGGGCTGCTATAGAGGGCCATGATGGGTCCCCGGGGGCGATGGGGCCGCCAGGTGCCCACCCAAACCTCTTCTGCCATGGCCAGGTCTGTCCAGGAGAGGCAACCACTTACCTGATGTCCCCAGGCTCCCATCATTGTGGCCCTGTTCCCAGCCAGAATTGGGGGGCGGGGCAGGAGGCTCTGGTCCTTGGAACAGTGAGGCTGAGAGCCTCCCACATGAACCCCTAGTGGTCAAGCTCCTCAGGCAACCCAGAGTAGAGGCAGGGGTCCCTGGGAGTGGAGCTGCATGGGTCCAGGGACCTCACCTCTTTGTGCAGAATAACCTAAGGGTCAAGCTGTCCAGCAAGGGTCCCAACCAGTGGTGCTTGGTGCCACAGGCAGAGTGTAGAGGAAGCGTTTCTCTGTCTCTGAGCTTTGAGAACTGGGGAAGGGGCCAGAGCTCTAGAATGGGCTCTGTGGACACAGGTTCTAGATCTTCACCTCTGTGACAAAACAATGTCTCCGGGGCCAGTTGCCAGCTCCTAGCCCCTCAGTGGTGAATGTGAAAAGGTCTGGACAAGAGCAAGCCTGCTGCCAAAGGCAGGGGCCCCTGTCCCACCTGGTCAGGGCCAGGGTCCGAGCTGCTTGTCAAGAGGCAGGGTCAGGTGCTGACCCCAAGACCACGGTACTGCCCCTCTTCCGCCTCTGACCAGGCTGGACTCCTCAGCAGTGTCCTAGTCAGTGACTCTTGGGCAGTCGGAACTTTGAGGCGTGGTTCAGTTCTACCCCTGAGGACTGGCCACTGTATGAACTCACCATGCCCTTGTTGGCCTTGACTGCAGATGCCAGACTTGCTGTTCTCCGTATCCCCTGTCTGCCCCCAGTAATAACCCACCCACTCCTCCCTCAGTGCACACCGACCGTGTGGCCCTGTGTGTGTCTGTTCATGTGGGGGACCCTGAGGGCACAGATGGAGTGGAATCTGAGCTGTGAGACGTTTTATTGATGAAGAGCTTGAGGGCAGGTTAGCACGAGGGAAGGGGGTCGGAGCTGATGGCGGGGCTGCTTGGGGTTGTCGCATGTCCACTCAGGCACCATCTTGACTGCCCAACACTTGAACCTGGAAGGAAGACATGAGTGAGTGACCAGTCCTCTGCCAGCCAGTTCAAGGGGTGGTGGTGAGTGTCTGTCATGTGTATGCCAGCGTGGCTTCAGGTGCCCTTGGGTTTTTAGAAGAGCAGGTCTGGGAGTCTCGCATGCTGTCTTCTGGGACACTTTGGGGCCCAGCCTCACCAGCAGCTTGACCAACTCTGCCTTGTGCATGGGCTGCAGGCCGTCGATACAAGACTTGAGCTCGCCCAGGGCAGCCTTGGCATCTGCGTTGACGTCATACTTGCCAAGGGGCCCCTCGTAGAGCTCCTCTGGAGACCCCACGAGCAGTGTTTGTAGGAAGTCCATGAAAAACTCGTTGTTGTCCTCCCCTCCAGCTGGCCCTGTCACAGGTAGGAGATGCTGCAGACAAGATCCTTGCCTCCTTAAATGTGGCAGCCTCTATGAGCACCCCTCAATCCCCACCTTTCCTCACAGGGTCCCCATGATGCCCTCCCTGTTCCCCTGGGATCCCTGGGGAAAAGAAGTGGTTGCCCGGTGTGGTCTGACCTGGTCCCTGAGATTGGGCCAGATGGGAACCCTGGGCATAGACCAAGGGCATATCTGTGTATGATTTCTGATGAGCCAGCTGGGCAGTGAGCAAACCCTAGTGTCCTCAAAAGGGTGCCTGCTGCCCAGATCTCAGCAACTCAGCCCCCTTCCCCACATACGGACCAGCAGATATGGAAGCACGGTGCGCCTTGGTGCGTGAACTCACCACAGACGCAGAGCAAGGCCAGGGCTGCCAGCAGGAAAGTGGTGCTGCCTTTCATGACGATAAGTGGGAGGCTCTGGGGCTGCCTCAGACAGACCCTGGGTTTTAAGTCTCAGCAGGTAACATTCATCCCAGTGGGCTGGTTGCCCTGCCCCGCCTCTGCCCCGCCCTCCAGCAGCCTCAGGTGAAGAGGGCCCAAGGAGGCCCCAGGTTCCCTTTGCAGGGTGGTCAGTGGGTGCAAGTGGGCCTGGGTGGGACTCAGGGTGGGAGGGAGTTAGCACCCCACCAGCCTAGGGTCTGGGTAACACTTGGGGATCCGGGGTGCAGATGTGTGGTCTCTGGAACAATTGGTATCAGGAGCCTAGAAGTGGACACTATGTCTAGGGCGTGAGAAAATGGGATACCTGTGAGCCTGGCTGTTCTGACCCTGTGAGCCAGGAGCACCCTCTACTATGTCACAGCAAGAAATGAGAGACCACTGTGGTCATGCCAGCAGGGAGAAGGGCCTTTTCAGTCTCAGGACCAAGATTTAGGTAGGAGCCTGCGTCCCTGGTGACAACAGGAAGCCGAAGCTGAGCTCCCACAACCAAACCCAGCAGCTGTGCTGGAGCCTGGATGAGCCAACTAGCCCGCTCTTGTGCTGTGTACTGCTGCCACCTGGTGGCTAATAATGCCGTTGGTCCTGACCAGCACGCCTTTGTAGAGTCTGGGAACTCTCCGGCGATCACATTCACCTACTACTTGCCCCTGTGTCCCCAGTACAGCACTTCTTCTCCTCACCACCCAGACCCCATCCCTCACCAGAATAAACAGTTAAAAGATGTGATCATGTATATGCCGATTCAGAGCAAAACAGAGAACTGGCAGTGAACACTAGGGTTTTCTAGGGTACTGTGGTCTTAGCAGTCGAGAAATCAAAAGACGGGTTACATTGGGGAAATCTTGTGTCAAAGATCTGTTCAAAATTCCAAAGAGCAAGGATGTCAGTTTAAAGATTAAAATTCATCTAGTCCAAGCCATAGTATTTCCCATTGTTTCCTATGTATCTGAAACTTGGACACTAAATAAAGAAGACAGAAGAATCAATGCTTTTGAAATGTGGTGTTGGTGAAGAGCATTGAATATCCTATGGACTTCCAAAAGAACAAGTCTATTTTGAAGGAAATGTAACCAGAGAGCTCCTTAGAAGCAAGGGTGGTGAAACAACATCTTACTGACGTTGTGTATATTTCCAGGAGAAACCAGTCCTTGAAGAGACATCGTGTTGGAAAGGTACAGGGTCAATGAAAGAGAGGAAGACCCTGATCAAGATATGGACTGACACAGTGACTGCAGCAATGTGCTTGAGCATGGCAGAGATTGTGAGGAAGGCACAGGATAGGGCATCGGTTAGATGTGTTAGTTAATGGGATGGCATCTAACAACGACCACCTCCACGGGAGCAGACCACTGGGTCTTTTCCCCTTCACTATGCCTGCTGGGTTTGAACTGACCTTTCAGCTAGAAAGTACAGCTAGTTGATGTGGCACAAGAAGCTGTTAGGAGCAGAAGTCAACCTGAACACAGACATCAAGAGCCAAGGAGAAAGGACCTTGGGCAGATCTGACTTTTCAGGAGCCCTGGGAGTCTGAAGTCCTCCCTGCTCTACTATGGTTCTCAGGTGGTTCAAGAATATTACCTGGGCACAGATTGTACTACCACCTTGGGCTTCACCTAGCCCAGTCCACTTGAAGCCAGACAGCAGTGGTTCTTAACCCTGACTAGCCATTTCCATTGCTCCGTTAAGCCAGCACTGTCCGCTGCATTATCCAGGTGATTTCCTTCCTGGAGAAGACCATCACCTTTCACTTAACAATTTTATATCACTGTATTTAATAATGAGCTAAATTTTATATAATAAATTAATGTTATTTTATAATACAATTTTATGTATTGATACTATGTAATACTTAGCTTTGTTGTATTCTACATAATATTAATTCTAAATAGTAATCTAAACTAGGATTGTTGTTTCTGTGTGCTGTTTAGTTGTTAACAACCCATAGCTGAGCCTCCAGTGGGTTTTCAGAGGCAAATTAATCACCTTGGAAGAAGTTGCCTGTCTTTTTCTCACCGAGCAGTTGGTGGATTTGAACCACGTGCCTTGTGGATTATAGTGCAGTTTCTTACCAGTAGGTGACCAGAGCTCTCTAATTTGGCATTAGAAGAACTAAAAAGCGTATTTACAAAATATTCTTGATGTATTGGTTTCAGGTAAGTCAAATTATAATAAATTAGGCTTTGGGAATAAAAAAAAAGTTACATTTATAATGGTGGAGGCAAGCTCTGGTGGCCTAGTGGCAAGAAGCTACACTGCAATTCCAGAGACACGAGGTTCGAATCCACCAGATGCTCTTCTGGAGAAGGAGGGACAATCTCCTCCTACACCAGTCAGATCCGATTTGACAGTACACAGAAAAAAATAATAAAAATTAAAAAAAAATATAATGGTTGAATAATTTCTGAGAGGTGAAAAAACTACGGTAGAGATTTGTCAGTTGATAATACAATTTTTTAATTGTATGGCATACAGATTGGGTTGCACTTGAGATGAACAGGATGAGATGTTTATAATCCAAGGATCAGAGAACACCAGGAAGGCCGAGTGAATTGGATAAAGTTGTGTGATAGTCACCTGTCCTGGCTAATCATGCATGTATTGATTATCTGCGGCTAAGACAGAAGTAAAAGAACAAATATGGATTAATAAATATTGCTGAAGATTATCTGAAAACAGCTCTAAAAGTACATTGACAGAGAAGTTAAAGCTGGGTTTAGAAGAGACCACAGCACTAAATAACTGTCAAGCCTCTTCTCAGGACAGATACAGGACTGAGCTGTGTGCAGACCACGTAGCGGCTCTGCCAGACCCTTCAAAGGGCGGGTACAAAAAGTCAAATGTTCACAGACCATGCTACAGTAGGGCCAGTCATCTTCTCAGGGATGTGACAAAAATCAGACATGTCCACAGATCATTCTGCTGTTCTTTCAGCTCTCCTCTAAGGGCCTGTCCAGTACATAGTTGTCCACTACCCATTGGAAATAGTGTCCATCTTACTCTGAGGATGGGTAGTGAAGGACTGAGGTGTGCACAGATAAAGTGACAATTCTGTCAGTCCTCCTTATACAACTGATAAAATCTCAGGTGTGCAAAGTCCTTCAAGAAGCACACACAGCCTTCCTGACATTATGAGTGCAAGTCTCTGTTGTGCAGAGACCATTCTTGGACAATGTTTTCTTTCTTCATTGTGCAGGTATAGGATCAAGGCGTCTACAGACCTTCCTGAATGTTGTTAGGCAGGTCACAGGGTCATTTGAAGGTCAAGGTGCCAAAGGTCCACACTGTAGCAGGGCTATTCATCCTCACAGGGCAGGTATAGGACTCAGGCTTACAGAAAACCATCCTGAGTAAAGGTCTGCTTTCCTCACGTGGCAGGTATAGGACTCAGGTAATTACATACCAGCCAGCATCAGGGTCAGTCACCCTCACTGGAGTGATTGACAATTCATGTGTGCAGAGGCCATCCTAAAGCAAGGTTTTCCCTCTTGTCAGTCCATGGACAGAATGTTAGTGAGCACAGAGATCAGGTTTAAGGAAGAAGCCTTTCTTCCTCAAGATCTGCCCCTGCTCAGTGTGATCCAGTGTGACAGCTGGACGCACAGCTTCCTCCAGTGATTTCGCACAGAAAGAGCTCTTTGTAGGTAGGAATTTGGTCTCTCTTCTTGTCTTCTTTTCTTTTCCTAAGACATTTCCCGCCTCCCTAATACACTGTGTATTTCACACTTGTCCCCCTCCTTTACTATTTCTTTCCTTTACTCAGTCATTTGGTACAGTATGTAGGAGGGAGGAGTCAGGTGCAGTTGTGTGTATTATATCCACTCTATTACCTGGAGAAGGACATCATGCTTGGAAAGGTGAAAGGTCAGCAGAAGAGAAGAAGATGCTCAATGAGATGGATTGACATAGTGACTGCAGCGATGGGCTCATTTGCGTCAGAGATGATGAGGATGGCACAGGATAGAACAGGGTTCAGATCTGTCATTTACTGGGTGCTACGAGTGAGTCATACTCGATTTGACAGCAGCTGCAGTAGAGAACTAAAAAGATCCAGAACAGAGGGAGAGACGAGGCTCATGCTTCCTCCTGATAGGCTTAGGTGTGCCAAGTGTCAGAGGTGATGCAGTGACACTCAACGGAACACTTAGCAAAGCAACTAAACACTAGCATGAGTTAAGGTATGCTTATATTTGACCAATGGTTCTTTTTCCTACAAAAACCTCACATATTTTTAATTATGTTCTATTATTTCCCCCATTCCCCATTTCTAATAATCACAGTGACTTCAGACAATAGCATCAGTAGTAGAAATGATAGCTGAAAATTGTAATGAATATGTTCACATCTAGCTGGTTTTATTATATGAAAATCCTTGTTTTCTTGATGTTGAGCTTCAGTGTATATTGAAAAGGCTAAAGTCCCTGAGCTTCTGTAGCAAAGGCCTCAGGTCATCCTCAGTTTCTGCAAGCAAGATTGTGTCTTCAGCATTATGCAGATTGTTGATTCTTCTTCCAATCCTGATGCCACATTGCTCCTCATATAGTCAAACATCCTGAAATTAGGACCTGTGAGTAATTCAGTTATCTCTCCCGTAAGTACTGATTTACATTGTTAATTTCTCTCTGATATTATGGGGGAAATTAAGATTTCCCCTTTCCTCTTCAATGTACAATGGAAATATTTTATTGTTTGTTACAAGGAAGTTATTGATTGGTCACCCTCAAAACATAATTTCTCCTTGTCATATCTTTGATATAAATCCTTCTTTTGCTTTCTGAGATTAAATAAATGGCCTTTCCAAATTTATTTTACATATTTAAAGATATATTTTAGTGTCTGTTAATTTTTAAATGCACGTCCAGGGCTGCGTATCTGTTTTGACATGTCAATTGGTGCTCCGTCAGTTCCTAGAGCGTTATTTTTGTCAATTCCTTCAGTACAGCAGGCAGTTATTCACTCAG